AAAATTGGTCTAAAGAGTTTAGACAGTACTTCCCTCGCTGTCGAAAACTTGACGACTGCATGCCTATTGTGTTTTTTTTCTCATTACATTTTTGTAGTGGGAATTTAAAAAAAAATGCGATGACGTCATCAACATTTTTGCAAGGACACGTATATCAGTTGGGATAGATGTAGTGTAATACTAAGAATAAAATTATTATATTCTCAAATTTTCGGGAAAATGAATTGGGTCGTTTTGAATAATGATTTGTAATAATCAATAAAATGACGAAACAATTTACTCACGTATACGTATCAGAGGCAACTGAAAATCGTGTATGTATAAACATTCTTAATTTAAGATGACAGGCGTACCAGCATACGTGAGAGTCAAACAGAGAAACTGTAAACAAAACGACCATCGGTTTTATTGCTTCGACTTCCGCTTATTATATAAAACATTGGGTTTTATTTTTATTCTTGACGGTGAAATTGGTTGATTATAAACATGTCTATTTCACATTCGCGGAACCAAGTGAACGCATAAAACAAATGCAGGTCTGTAATGTTAAAGTCGATGTAAATAAGCGTGCTACCCTTATGTTTCAACCGAGTTTTTCCTTTAACAAATTTTATGTCTACCAAATTGGGTTGGTTGGGGTGTAATACTAATAATAAGTGTTGCCTTTAATTTAATCAATAAAATAAATTGACTTCATTAATTTTTTTGAACCACCTCTTAAGAAAATCTAAAAAATATGAATGGAATGATAAATCACAAGTACAAACTCATCATATTTTTTGCATTTTAGATAGGATTTATTCAGCAAAATTTAAGGGTGACGTCATCAATTTTTTTAGGAGGGATGAACAAATACATTTTGAACAAAAGTTTACCATGCTTATAATAACTTTAAAATATTCCCAAGAATTCAAAGCATTCGGTTTTGTAATTCCTGATTAAATCGATAAAATAAATTCACGCTTTCATTAATTTTTTTGAGTCACCCTGCATATGCAAATCCAAAAATATGAATGGAATGATAAATCACAAGTACAGACTCATCATATTTTGTACATTTTAGATACGATTTATTCGGCAAACTTTTGAGCTGACGTCATCAAGTTTTTGGAGGGGATAAGCAAATATATTTTGACTAAACATTTATTATGCTCTTTATAACCTTAAAACATCTGCAAGATGTCAGAGCATTCCGTTTTGTAGTTCTTGATTAAATCAATAAAATATATTTACGCATTCATTAATTTTTTTGAGTCACTCTGTATATGCAAATCCAAAAAATATGAATGGAGTAATAAATGACAAGTACAGACTCATCATATTTTGTACATTTTAGATATGATTTATTCGGCAAACTTTCGAGCTGACGTCATCAAGTTTTTGGAGGGGATAAGCAAATATATTTTGACTAAACATTTATTATGCTCTTTATAACCTTAAAACATGTGCAAGATGTCAGAGCATTTCGTTTTGTAGTTCCTGATTAAATCAATAAAATAAATTTACGCATTCATTAATTTTTTTGAGTCACCCTGTATATGCAAATCCAAAAAATATGAATGGAGTGATAGATCACAAGTACAGACTCATCATATTTTGTACATTTTAGATATGATTTATTCCACAAACTTTTGAGCTGACGTCATCAAGTTTTTGGAGGGGATAAGCAAATATTTTTTGACTAAAGATTTATGATGCTCTTTATAGCCTTAAAACATCTGCAACATTTCAAAGCATTCTGGTTAGCAGATTAAAAGTTAAATTTCAAAATGTTGTTTTATAATTTTGATTTTTTTTCCAAAAATCTGGAAGCTTCGGGTGAAAAGTCGATTCAGAGTTGTAAACTACATGTGTAGGACTATGTTATTTTATACAATTGAAAACCCATTTACTATGTACAATTTTGAAGTGACGTCATCGCATTAGTGGTGGGGATGATTAGACAAATTTTGGTTAGCGTTTTACCATCTACATGATATTCTTAATATAAGTACAAAATTTCACAACAATCGGTCGAGTACTTTCGGAGATTATCTGTCTAATAAAAATCCGGGACAACAGACGGACAGACGGACGGACAGACGGACAGACGGACAGACGGACAGACAGACGGAAATGGGAGACCTATTTCTTCGTCTTCTAGGGGTCATGAAAGATCGAGAAAACGTAAAAGTAGAGAGTCGGCCGACGGACTCGATTACAATACTTCCTTTGCTTACGCTCGGGAAGTAAAATTGTTAAGTTTTTATGTTTTAAATTTAATATTTTTTATTCTAGTGACAGCTATGAAAATATCTTAACATATTTCGGTTTATCGCTGCTGGAGACCCGTAGATGTATGTTTGATTGTCTGTTTATTTATAAAGTGTCATCATCCGTTATTGATTGTTTTACAGTTCTTCAAATGTTTTATCTACATGGTCCTAATCGTTGCCGTAGATCTTTCCATCTTTTGTGAGTGAGAATGTCGCACGCAGACAAGTTGTACGAGAATCCGTTCTGCAATGTGTGTGCAAATATTGCAAAGAAAAAACGTGTATATTGTTTAAATTGTGAACAATGGTGCCACAAAAGTTGTGCCCAAAGGAAATCGTGTTGTAACGAGAAATTTTTAATGTGTGACTACGTAATCAATGAAACTGAAACTGAAACAAGGGACATCGATAGAATGTTTAGTGAAAAATTAGATGCTGTTGTGTCAACTATGCAACTGAAAATTGAAAATCTGCACGAAGAAGTGAAGGAAATTAAAATCTTATTAACATGTAAAAATGCGACCCATGATGATATGAAGTGCCTGCAAATTGATAACAAAACGACAAAAACTGACGACCTCAATCAAAAGAAAAAGATGATGAGTGTTGAAATGAAAACAAACGAATCATCAGCTGATTGGCAAGCCCTGCCGAGAATAAATTGCAACCAAAGGGATACCTCCACATTAACGGAATTAAGCAATAAACAGCAACAATTGATGTCTGACATCATCAACCTAGAGCTTGAAACCGATACCTTAAATACTCTTAAAACAACTACAAGAAATAGAAATGGTACGACATTAAACTTGGAAAACAAGGTAAATGCAACCGGGAAAACCCAAAGTGATAATAGGAAACAAAAGCACCAAAACGAATTCTCTCGTACTCCTAAGACTGAAAAGGAAAAAAGTGAAGCCCAAGAAAATAAATTTGAGGAAGTCCGTCCTAGAAGATCAAGAAAACGCAATTATAAGGTTGGTGCATGTGAAAGCAGCCCTAGTGAGATCTCTTCATTTATAGGTACGCAACGTAACAAAAAGATCTGGTTATTTATTGCGGGTGCACGGGAGCACGTAACTGAAACAATAGTAAAGCAGTATATAAATGGCAAACTACAGGACTCCTCTCAAACTGAAGTGAAAGAATTAAAAACCTTCCATAAAAAAATTGACAATAAATGCTTTTTCGTCGGTGTCGAATATTTGCATAAGGAGGCAGTATACAATCCGTCATTCTGGCCCATGGGAATACGATTCAGCCGTTTTGACTTCCGAAAAGGTGAACATTTTTTAGACAACCCAAAAGAAACAAGCACTACAAAATCCTAACCTCTTCTTCTGACAGTGAATGCACGACCATAGTAAAGATATTACACCAAAACGTCCAATCCTTAGGAAACAAAACACTAATCATCGAAGTCATCCTATCTACTATGAACATTAAACCAACAATAATGTGTTTTACGGAACATTGGTGTAAGCAAAATATTCACCTAATCAATATAAACGGATATACATTAATGTCGGCATATACGAGGGCCACAGTCGAACATGTCAATCATCAAATTCTGATTCAAAAACTTGAAATGTATGGAGTGAGAGGCATCCCTCTACAACTCATTAAATCCTATCTTAATGGAAGAACACAATGTGTAATAGATTACTATATGGGACAGAAAGTTAAATCTAACAAACTCCCCATTAGTAAAGGAATCCCACAAGGGTCTATTCTCGGGCCGCTCTTCTACTTAATATATGCTAATGATCTTGTTCTATATAGTGAATCTTTTTCAGTGCAATTTGCTGATGACACTAATGTTATTATTAGCGAATCGTCTTGTGAAGATCTAAACAAATCGATTGAAAGAAATCTACAGAAGCTACAACACTGGTGTAGGTTAAATCATTTCCAGCTAAACGACAATAAGACTATTATACTAAAATTCAATTATAAGTCGGATACAGATTGTAATATATCAACACAAAATCAAAGCGTATCACCAGCTAAGAATAAAACCAAATTTTTAGGATTGTGGATCGATACAAAGCTTAACTGGAAAGAACACATAAATATATTATCATCTGAAATATCAAAGTATTGCTTTGCTCTGAAAATGTTATCCAAATCAGCCTCACCAGAAGTTGCAATGATGGCGTATACTGGATATGTAGAATGTAGAATTAGATACGGAATAATATTTTGGGGAAACTCTGTAGATGTAAATAAGATATTCATTATACAAAAGAGATGTATTCGAAGCATTTTCAATCTTAAGAAAACAGATAGCTGTAAACCATATTTTCTTGAAAAAAAATACTAACTTTAACAAGCCTGTACATATATGAATGTGTCATGTTTATTCTCACTCATAAGGATCTTTTTACAGAACATGAGCGCACTCACACTTATGATACACGCTTCAAAAATAACTTTGATTGTGAAATGATGAACTACACTTACCTCCAAAAAAATGTTTTATTTTCAGCATTAAAAATATATAACACTCTACCAATGCAATTAAAATTAGGAAATTTAAGACATATAAAATTAAAACTAAAACATTTTTGTTAAAAAATGCGTATTATAATATAAAAGAATATCTTAATACCCAGTTGTAATTGTTATAAGTATGTTGTATGTATGTGTATATTAACTAAATGACATGTAATACGTCTCCGACTTTTTATGTATAATAAACTTACTTACTTACTTACTTACTTACTTACTTACTTACTTACTTACTTACTTACTTACTTTTAAATATTCCATTTCATAGGACCTCGTATGGTTTAAATTCAACCCACTGTCGCCTATGTAAACTAACTTATTTACGCAAAGATTTGGATTTTGTAGGAACATCTGCCGCAATACTTAAAAAAAATCGTTTAATTAAAAAATTATTTAAATTATATCTTCCTGTGTTGTAATTGGTTACCATGAACCGTCAATAAATAACATTATTAATATTATAAGATTTAGATTATAGAGCCTTGAGGAGAACTCAAATTCGTAGCGCGTGCAATCGACCCGCCTACCGTCTCGCTGACTCGAACCCAACAATGGGTTTTTCAAAAAAAATGTACATTTTAGAGCCGATATTTTAATTTTACGTCCATGATCAACGATCATTGTCCCCTACGGATCAAAAACGATATAATTCTATTTCTTTCAACGGAATTATTAAACGCGTACTTTTTGGGTAGCAGACCATTTCCTTCCGGAACATCCACTTTCGCACCATTCGATTTGCTACCAGCAACTCTACTGTTTTTAAATGCGCATACTCACAAGTATAATGAATCGGCAGTAGACCATCGTGATACGGGTAGTCTACGTTAGCACCTTCTTTTATAAAAAAGGGCATAATACTGGGTCCATCAAAACGATTTTTACACGCGTAATGCATGGGTAGCCGACCATCACCATCTGGAATATCCACTGCTGTACCATTCGCTACCAGCAACATTACTTCATCTAAATCTCCTTGTTCACAAGCATAATGAATGGGCAACCGACCATAGTAATCTGAGGAATCTACTTTGGTACCTTATTTTATCAAATAGGACGAAATTTTATGTCCATTAAAACGATTTTTACACGCGTAATTCATGGGCATTGTATCATTTTTATCTGGAATATTTACTTTCGCACCATTCGCTACCAGCAACATTACTTCATCTAAATCTCGACAGCCGACCATCGTGATCTCGGGATTATACTTTCCCACCTTTTTTTATCAAAAACGACGTAATGCTATGTCCATTAAACCGATTTTTAGATGCGTAATACATGGGCAGTCGACCATATCTATCTGGAATATTCACTTTCGCAACATTCGCTACCAGCAACATTACTTTATCTAAATCTCCAAATTCGCAAGCATAATGAATCGGCAGCCGACCATCATTATCTTGGGATTCTACATTCCAACTTTGTTTCAACAAAAATGACATAATTTTATGTCCATTCAAAAGATTTTTACACGCGTAATGCATGGGCATCCGACCATTTCCATCTGGGATACCCACCTTCGCACCATTCGCTAACAGCAACATGACTTCATCTAAATCTCCAAATTCAGAAGCATAATGAATCGGCAGCTGACCGTCGTGATCTCGGGAATCAATTTTCAAACCTTGTTTTATCAAATAGGACGAAATTTTATGTCCACTAAAACGATTTTTAGAAGCGTTATGCATGGACATTCGACCATTTCTATCTGGAATATACAGTGCCGTACCATTCGCTACTAGCAACTTTACTTCATCTAAATCTCCAAATTCACAAGCATAATGAATTGGCAGTCGACCATCGTTATCTGGAGAATCAACTTCCGCACCTTCTTTTATCAAAAAGGACGTAACTTTGTGTCCATTAAAACGATTTTTAGACGCGTAATGCACGGGCATTCGACCGTTTCTATCCGGGATACCCACCTTCGCACCATTCGCTACCAGCAACATTACTTCATCTAAATCCCCAGATTCACAAGCATAATGAATCGGCAGCCGACCGTCGCGATCTCGGAAATCAATTTTCGAACCTTGTTTTATCAAATAGGACGAAATTTTATGTCCACTAAAACGATTTTTAGACGCGTAATGCATGGGCATTCGACCATTTCTATCGGGAATATCTACTTTTGCACTACTCGCTAACAGCAACATTACTTCATCTAAATCTCCAAATTCACAAGCATAATGAATCGGCAGTCGACCATCGTCATCTGGAGAATCAACTTTCGCACCTTCTTTTATCAAAAAGGACGTAACTTTGTGTCCATTAAAACGATTTTTAGACGCGTAATGCACGGGCATTCGACCGTTTCTATCCGGAATACCCACCTTCGCACCATTCGCTACCAGCAACATTACTTCATCTAAATCCCCAAATTCACAAGCATAATGAATCGGCAGCCGACCGTCGCGATCTCGGAAATCAATTTTCGAACCTTGTTTTATCAAATAGGACGAAATTTTATGTCCACTAAAACGATTTTTAGACGCGTAATGCACGGGCATTCGACCGTTTCTATCCGGAATACCCACCTTCGCACCATTCGCTACCAGCAACATTACTTCATCTAAATCCCCAAATTCACAAGCATAATGAATCGGCAGCCGACCATCGCGATCTCGGAAATCAATTTTCGAACCTTGTTTTATCAAATAGGACGAAATTTTATGTCCACTAAAACGACTTTTAGACGCGTAATGCATGGGCATTCGACCATTTCTATCTGGAATATCTACTTTTGCACTACTTGCTACCAGCAGCATTACTTCATCTAAATCTCCAAATTCACAAGCATAATGAATCGGCAGTCGACCATCGTCATCTGGAGAATCAACTTTCGCACCTTCTTTTATCAAAAAGGACGTAACGTTGTGCCCATTAAAACGATTTTTAGACGCGTAATGCATAGGCAGTCGACCATTTCTATCCGGAACATCCACTTTCGCACCATTCGCTACCAGCAACATGACTTCATCTAAATCTCCAAATTCACACGCATAATGAATCGGCAGTCGACCATAGTCATCTGGAGAATCAACTTTCGCACCTTTGTTCATCAAAAATGTTATAATTCTATATTCAAAATATCGATTCTGACACGCGTAATATATGGGCAGCTTACCATCTCCATCCGGATCATTCACTTTTGCACCATTCGCTACCAGTGACTTTACTGCACCTAAGCATCCATATTCACAAGCGTAGTGAATCGGTAATCGACCATGCCCATCTGGCGAATCTAAATTAGCACCATTTTCTCTCAAAAACGATACAACGGAGTCCACATTCAGGATTTTGTCAAAAGCGTAATGTATGGGCAGCTTTTTGTCATTCCCATCAGGAACATCCACCTTTGCCCCATTTTCTACCAATGATTTCATTGCATCTAAATTTCCATATTCAGAAGCGTAATGAATTGGCAGGCGACCATTGCTGTCTCCAGAATCTACTTTCACACCTTTTTCAATCAAAAATGGTATAATTCTGTATCCATTTAACCAATTTTTACAAGCGTAATGAATGAGCAGAAGATCATTTTCATCGGAAACGTCCAATTTTGCACCATTTCTCACCAATAATTCTACTGACTCTAAATCACCATGTTCACAGGCATACTGAATCGGTAGTCGACCACTTCTATCCCGAACATCCACATTCGGATTTTTAACCAATAATAAACTTAGCGTTTTAATTAGGCGATTCTCAGATGAATAATGAATCAGCAACTGACCTTTCGAATTTGGAACTTCTATTTGAAACTCTTCCAACTCTAACACAAAAGTAAATATTTCGTCAATTTCCATCACCGAATCCCCTAAATTTTCTACAAAATCCCATTCGCAACAGTCTTCCTTTTTGGAAAACAGTTTTCTTAATATTTGCCTTGATCGATTATAAAGAGCTAATCCTAGAACACTCCTTGGATTAATGCTATTGTACATGGTCTTTAAAGACAAAGAATTTTCAATGCACTCAAAAATCATTGAAACATCATACTTAATTGCATAATATAAAACTACTGCCAAGTAGTCATCATCAAATCGAGTCCTATCATATAATGGAACCAAAAATGGTAAAAAAAGCAGCAACTTATGAAAACACGAATTGAAGTAATTAAATTCTCGCCCCACATCACGATAATTTAAATGTCTTACGATTTCCGTATTACCAACCCAATCTTTGTTAAAATCGGATTTTGTTAGAACAGTGTCATTTTTCGCAACTGGATAATTTTTGCTGTATGCACAAGCCACTTCTAAAATGTCGCGATCGATGACGTCTTTTTGCTTTAAATCTTCATCTGTGAGTTCCTCTAGAATTGAAAGATTTTTATATAAAATAGCTACGAAACCTTTACAGTTTTTCGCCAACATTAAATCTAAAAAAAATCGAATATTGTTGTAACGATAGTTCGAAATAAATATTTTGTCTCGTGCTTTTGATGGTTCATATTTAAAGAGATATAAAGCTGCAAAATATTCCCCGTACGAATTGTGAGCGAATACTGCATCGTTGTTAGAATTAACGTGGCTTATAATTCCTACTTCATCGCCTTCATTTTTAATTTCGTTCAAAAAGCTTTCAACTTCTCGGTCAAAACTGCATTTTACGATGACAGGTTTTTCTGCCAGTAAATCATAAATGTAAGAATTGGCAGCTAAATATTCGTAACAATTCTTTTTATTTTTTTTTTTAATAACAAAATTTTTGTAATTGGATTCCTTTGTTAAAGGAATTTCGTTTTTCTCTGCATATAAAATATGAAATTTTTCTTTCACAAAGTGTTTATACAGTTTAAGAACAGTAAAATTACCGTCTAATAAATTTAGATAGTGGTTTAAGTCTTTTGAAAATAATTCCGTCAACATGAAAATTTGTAGAGGAATGCCTAAAATTTCGTAATTTGGAAAAGTCATTATATTTTCTCTTATTTTACTAAAGATCTTCGGCAACTTATCTTCGTCAATTTGTAGGCGATCTCGAATGTAAGCTCGTTGTTCTTCTTCGTTCAACTGCTTTATATTTCGAGAAAAAGTATTTAAATCTTTTTCTAACTTATTTTTCAAGTTGTTTCGAGAAGTTAACCATTGCTTCACCCCTCGTTCCGAAAAAGCTTTTACTAAATCTACAATGGAAGCTTGAGTGTCGTCAGACGCTTCATCGAGACCATCCCACGCTAGCTCTATTTGATTTTGTTCCAGCATTGTTTTGAAAATTGCTTGGTGGAATTTCTTTGAATACTTTTTACAAGTAACGACGTCCAGAATGTATTTTAAAAACTTGTCCATATCGGATTTATTTTTTCTAAAGTGTTCAGGATGATTTCTTGCGTGGATTAAAATAGTCCACTTCGACGAAGGACTATTGCTTTTCAAACTCTTCAATAATGTGCTCTTTCCCATACCAGGATCGGCGCAGATAATATTAATATTTTGCGACGATTCTTTAAAGTATTGACTTTGGTCCATGTGATGTTCCATAAATTCACCTTTTATACGAAACCTATCAAGTTTTTTAAAGCATACACGTTTCGACCCGCAATTCTCACTTCTTATCCACTCCAAACGATGATCGTCCAAATATTTAAAGTGATGAATTTGTGTTCTTAAATTCTGTTTGCACAAAGCATCAAATTTAGCTTTTGAGATGTCGTTTTCATAAATATAAATCGTCGGACTTTGAACTGTACTTTGAATCGTGTCTACATCATTAATTTTGATTGATACATTTGATAAATTTTGCTGAAAAGAGTTCACATCTGTCACACAGTCAATTAAAGCAACTGTATTGTAATCCATATTTCTCAAAAATTTGACATCTATTAAAATTTTCGTTAACTTTGTTTCGAAATGGCTTGGTGGTAGAGCTTCTGAGTTTCCAATTAACAATGGAGCTTTCAACATTTCAATTAAATCATCTGCAGTAATGAACTTGCTGATATCGCAAATTTCTAGTAGGAATTTTAGCTCAATTTCTCTTTGACCTTCCAACGAATAGGTAAAATTCATTAAGATGTCGTTATACAACTTTGTGTGCTCTTTTAAATCAAATAACTTTCGAAACAGGAAAGTTTTTTGTTGACTGTTTGTGATTCCTTCAACGCCTTTACTAAACGTTTCTTGATTATCAAGTACGATAAGATTTCGAATTTGGCATGTTTTTATTGCTTTGTAAACTTGTGGA